GGGGGGGGGGGGGGGGGCGGGGGAACTCTGCTTCCCCAAGTTGTCCTAAAGGAAATGGTAACACATTAAAAGGGCGATGACAGGCCATATGATAATCATTACAACGTAAATGTGTGACTAAAAGGTAAATATATATACACTATCATTAATCATATATTCCCCATTTTGTGTGCGCTTAACTCTGGCTCCTAGTGGCTTTCAATTTAGGTTGATCGATGGCTGTTGTTTTCTGTGGGGCCTCTCAGTGCTTGAAATTACCCAAGAGAGAGTGATCTCTCATGAACCGGCAGTGAACTGACCCCATCAGTCCTTTCTACAGTCTCATACACTGGATCACTGCAAATGGTTTGTTCCAAGATCAGTCTTGCAGAATAAATAAGCCAGATTTGGGTCACTTTTTCATACACATAGTGGGGTCCAAAAGTCAGACCACTATTGAAAATTCTACCATTGTGCATTTTTATAATATAATACTATTCTTCCGTTACAAAACAATTAGCAAGCAAACCAGAACAAAATGTATACAATTTTTAATGTATTTAAATACATAAATTAATTAATTAATATAAAAACTAAATGCTTTTTATTTTTATTGATGTTATAAAAATAAAACAAACAAACAGGTCAAGTACAAACAAACAAATAAATAAAATTATATATATATATATATATAAAAAAAAAAATAGTATTCATTAAAAATTTTTCTTTTGTTTTAAGATAATGGAAATGTTTTTTTTAAATGACCTGCCCACCCGCTAAAAACCAGTTTTAGATTATAGTACACTTTGATAAAAAGATTAATAGTCTACCATCAATAAGAACAGCTGTGAGATGAGACATATAAAAACAGTAAAGCCCTGCTTTAGGAAACATACTGCCAAGGTTTTCAAAACATCTAAACAGAGAAGCCCCACTATCTTGTCATGCGAAGCCACAACCTGGGCTTAACACATCATTACTCGGCAGACAACCAGGCAGGAATGAGAGAGGAAGGGTGTTTGTGCTGGAGGTAAAAGAGAGAGACTTCAACAGTTCCCATGACTTCAGCCAAATCAGACGCTCTGTTTCCCACCTTGATCAATCCCCAGTGTCTCATAGCAGAAACAACGGATCACAAAATGAGTTTAAGACTGTACAAAAAACAAGATCAGTGCAAAAGGACTAGATTTAACAATTTAAAGAACCGAAAGACGTGAGTTATTGGACTTAAGAGTGGAGACCAGGGAAAAGACCACAAATGAAAAGGAGAAGAGAGAAGAATGTGTATCTAAACCACATGCCATGGAGATGGAGTCCATCACTTAATATCTCTATTAGTTTGACTACTCTGGCACGCTGTCATAGTCATCTAGAAACTGAAGAATGTGATGATATCAGACAGCAGCTGTTATAACGAGGGGGAAAAACAGTAATGATCAAAAATGGGATGAGAAAATGAAAAAAGGGTAGATGACACCAAAATTTTAAGAGATAGTTTCCCCCAAATTATGTCATTTAATTACCAATTTGCAATCTACACCGTTCAAAAGTTTGGGCCGGTGAGATACATTTTTTTAAAGTCTCTTTTGCTTACCAAAGCTGCATTTACTTGTTCAAAAATACAGTAAAAACAGTAATAATATGGAATAATATGATGGTGAGTAAATGATGAAACTATTTTCATTCTCTTTAGTTTAAATGAATAAGAAATACCAGTCAAAGTTCAGAACACAAGCAGCACTGTTACATTATTTCTTGCTGTGAGTTTCTCCATTGTATTTTAGACTACAGTAAGTGTGAACATGTCTGAGAGCACCAAACATTCTTCAGTATGTGTGAGAGGCTCGACTTTTGAGCAGACCCCACATTACTGTGCGTTGCAATTGACCTAAAGCAAACTGTTAAAACATTATTTGGAAAACAGATTTGCGGGGGGAAAAGGGGGAATTTTAAAAAAAATAATAAAATAATCAAAATAAATGTAAAATTTTAAAGCAAAATAAAAAAACGGCAATATCAAAATCACTGAATGTAAAAAAAACACATTAGACATTTCATTGATATATGATAAGAGAGAGCATGCTAGTTTTGTCAGAGTATACATTTTGCACAATTTTGTCAGTAATTGTTTTATTTGAATTAATACTTATTTTGAGCAAGGATGCCTTAAATTGTCCAAAAGTGACAGTAGAGGCATAATGTTATAAAAGATTTCTATTTCAATTAAATGTTCTTCTTTTGAACTTTCTATTCATCAAATAATTAAAAAAATGTTTCCACAAAAATATTTTAACATTAATAATAATAATAAGAAATGTTTCTTTCTGAAATGATTTTTGAAGGGTCATGTGACACTGAAGACTGGAGTAATGACTGCTGAAAATTCAGCTTTGCTATCACAGAAAATAAATTACATTTTAAAATATATTAAAATGTAAAAAGTTAAAAAATATTATTCCAAAATGTTTTTAATGCAGCCTTGGGGAGCACAAGAGGCTTCTTACAAAAACATTCTAAAAAAATCTTTCCAACCCTAAAATGTTTAACTGTAGTGTAAAACAAAGATCTCTAGAAAACCTAAGAAATGCTGGCAAGACAATAAGAAAGGCCCACTGAATTGCAAGTGTGAGTGACAGAAGAACCGAAAGAACCAGTTGGGCGTTTCACAATGAGACTGCAGGGCCTAGGGCTTCCACTCAGGCCTGCAGTCTTTCATTAAGCCTGCTGCTCTGTTTGAATGAGGCCCTTGTAATTACCTCAGAAATGCTACTCGTCGTCAGCCCTTCTGGTGCCAGCTGAAGAGCTGTCAATCAAGCTCTCAAGAGCCCAGCAGGATAATGACAGCAAGCACAGCAATTTGGTTTTAAGAATGGCTTTTTGCATGTCTCAAAGCAGCTAATCCAACGAAGGCTCTGAAAAGTTTTTTTCTTCTCCCCCAGTTAATTTTTGCTCATGTTGAAAGAATACAAGACCACAAACCAAGGACTAAACAAACCAGCATGACACACGTTTAGGTTAACCCAAACTTATTTGTCTGACAATGTGCTATTATGCGTTTACAATTGGAAAAATTTCTCTGAAACAATAGAAACCATTCTAAGGCTACTGTCTATATAGGCAGCTGCCTTCTTAGAAAGAATATTGAGATGAAACCAAGTAACTGATTTGAAAAGACTGAACACTCTTCATAGGGAGCAACTCTCTGCACCACCCTGATACGTTACTATTGAAAAGTTTTGTTCTGTAAGACTTTGTAAGCCTCTGCATATTGACTGAATTACAAAATAAATAAAGCAGATAAAGTCTTGATAAAGTACTATGATATATAGGATACAACACTGGATGGTGGTAAAAAAATAAATAAATAAGATGTACACATATCCATTGCTAACCACAGCTTGAGAAGGATAAAATGGCCACTAACATCCTTATTCCACTTCCTTGAGGTTAATGTCTGGAAAAATGAGATTAAGAAAAGCCTCCACGGACTCAAAGGTAAACCTATTATGGCGACAAATGTATCTCTTTAACCGACCCTTGGGAAGCAAGTGTCTTGAATGTCAAGCCCTTACAAAACAGAGGTGCTTTTGGTGTGAGGCAAGGAAACAGTAAAGCCTTGCCCTATTCTATTCAAAAGGCCCCTTATGGAGAGGGGGAATACATTTTCTGCTCGTAACAAAAGATGGGCTGAGTGAGGAGGAGATACATTCACCTCTAGGAGCTGGGGTGCTTTACAGTTCTCTTGGAGATTCAAAACCAGAGCTTAAAGAGAATAAGATAAAAACTAAAAGTGGCTAGAAATATTTGGAGGGCGTGTTCGGGAAAGGCCATTTACTGGACATAGTTTTTCTAGTGCATTTCTCTTATGCAAAATAAGAAGAAAAAAAGGGAAGAGATGCTTGTTTCTTGATTGATGAGCAAGTGTGAAATGTGATCACAGTCAGAAATGTTTGTGTTGAAGGGGAACTTTCATTGTGGAACAAAATATGACAACCCCCATGGCAAAAGCCAAAAGAAAAATACATGAAAGCCAACCCAGCATGACAGTACCGAAAATGTTTAAAATATCAAATTCATTGAGCGATAACTGCTCACAGCTACAGGGCTCTAAGATTCCCACAGATTTAATCCACTGAATTTTAAAATTGAGGAAAAATGCTTCATGACTTTTATCACATTTATGAACACGACCACAGCAGCTCCCCACATCTAAACAGCACAGGAGCATGTAAACAGGAAATGTACATGAAATGGGCCGAACTAACTCACAAACCATGCAATGCTTTATAATTCAGTGAGGGTAGAGGAAAACAACGGTCATCTGAAGTGACTGATTCATCTCCTCATCCTTGTTCTCACAATCTATAGCAGCACTGGATGCCAACAGAGAGAAATCTAAGGGGCTTTTCAGAGAGTTACCACAGCACATAAAACAAAATCAAGATGAAGGGAAAAAGGGTTCACGGGTCAAGTGGCACACAAGAGCAAGAGGGCCGAGGGGAAAAAAGATGGATTTTTGAAGTACTCGTGTTTCTGCTGGGGTTGTACAGCTCATGAATACTGGTGTTGGTCTGTTTCAAATTGTAGTGAGCTGCATACAGAGGGAACATTTTACACAAGAGAGATAAAATGGATAAAGCATGGATAAAACATCTATTACAAAGCTAATGTTCTTGCATTGGAGTAGAGATTAAAATGCTTCTTGTCTTTGTCGGGAAGTGAATAAGAGAAAGAAATATGAAATTCCATTTTAAACCAAAATTACATAATTCCGATTTACGAACATGCAAATCAAAATATCACAGGAATATTTAACATATGTTTACTTCAAATTGTAGTGAGCTGCATACAGAGGGAACATTTTACACAAGAGAGATAAAATGGATAAAGCATGGATAAAACATCTATTACAAAGCTAATGTTCTTGCATTGGAGTAGAGATTAAAATGCTTCTTGTCTTTGTCGGGAAGTGAATAAGAGAAAGAAATATGAATTTCCATTTTAAACCAAAATTACATAATTCCGATTTACGAACATGCAAATCAAAATATCACAGGAATATTTAACATGTTTAAATTTGGACACACTTAATATTTTGTTTTTTTATAGCCCTAAACGTATACTAGCACAAGGCTGGCGTGACCAAAGGTCCATTTCATGGATTTCAGAGACCTTAGACATTAAATAAAGAGACTTAAATGGCCTAATGTTGCTTTCAGACCCTTAGTCTGCTACTAACTCTTTTTTCAGCTCTTGAGGAAACCTAAAGCTTGTCCCCGAGGTGTAACGTCTCCTAAACCAACCGTGTTGCAGATCAAAACGGCCAAACGCCCCTCATGATAAAGCTGGTGCTGATAGCAGCCCTTTAACTTGTCAGGTCAGGTCTCTGAACCGGCTATCAGCACCAGGCCTGGAAACTGTCAAATACCATCACAGATGGATGGCCTGTGGGCTTCACATTGACAGACCTGCATTCCTACAGCAGAATGGAGACTCTACAACTGCCGACATGCATGCAATGCCAGTTCATTTAATTAAAGATTGGTCATTCAATCTCCTTGAAAAAGACATTAATGGTTAATGCAATAACAGGCTTGAGTGCTGTCATCCATTTTGTATGTCCCATGAGTTTGATAAGACACGACAGTGAGTAGATGACAACAATTTCATTTTTGGGTGAAAATTAACTTAATTTTATATCGCATGCACTGACTTTCTTACCTCGATAATGTAAAGCACAATGTTCTTGTAGAAGCAATACAGGATGCACTTGGCAACACGGTTGTAATTCCAAGCGCCGTGAACCAACAGAAGATTCTTCAAGTACTTGAACTGTGAGAGAGAAGGGAGGACAGAGATAAGTTCATTAAGGCCTACTTATTTACACAAGATCTACAGTTTCCCAGACAACACAGAAAGCGGTTTTGGCTTTGAAAATAAAGCGACAATCTTATCCATGCTGGGAAACAGGAAGAATGGAGTTGCAGGGACAAGACAAACACCGTCTCAGCCATATTCCTGAGAATTCCAGCTACAATCGGTCTTATTGTGTTGAAAAGCAGAGGAAGCGAGAAAACTTTTTACAGCTGTACAAAGTCTTGTAGAAGCAATACAGGATGCACTTGGCAACACGGTTGTAATTCCAAGCGCCGTGAACCAACAGAAGATTCTTCAAGTACTTGAACTGTGAGAGAGAAGGGAGGACAGAGATAAGTTCATTAAGGCCTACTTATTTACACAAGATCTACAGTTTCCCAGACAACACAGAAAGCGGTTTTGGCTTTGAAAATAAAGCGACAATCTTATCCATGCTGGGAAACAGGAAGAATGGAGTTGCAGGGACAAGACAAACACCGTCTCAGCCATATTCCTGAGAATTCCAGCTACAATCTGTCTTATTGTGTTGAAAAGCAGAGGAAGCGAGAAAACTTTTTACAGCTGTACAAAGAAAAAAAAGTAATTTTTTGGTTAGTACATAAAGTTCTGCTTTAATAACTGCCTTATATTATGAAAAATGTAATCAGGTTTATCAGCTGGCCACTAAGAATTAGTATAAACCTGATTGTCATGAAAAATAATAATTCATCCAAATTGTACTTAAATCTACTCAGAACAGAACCCAATACCCAAACTGTAGATATAAACTGCTTAAATCATCTGGATTCTGTCAGATTTACTGAATATAACGTGCTGTTTCTGTTGCTGTCACTGTGTTTAACTTTCATCAAGTCAGACAGATGTCTTTTTCAAACAATGGATGAGTAGTTCCCTCCAATTTATTATGTTGCTTCATACATGTGTATATTGCAAAAGATTGAGTTGATTAATATATTTACTAAATATTTTCACCATATTTTCTGCTGAGTTCAGCACACTATGTGCCAAAAGCAGGCTCAGCACCAAAACTCTACTTCTGCTTCACAGCACGATGCTTAGGCGGACAGAGTGAATACTGAGGGATTTGACACGCACCACAACACGCTGATAAATCATAAAATTGTGTTTTCCTCTGGCTTAGACATCAAAATGTAAACAGAGAAGTGCTTTGCTCCCTAAATAAGCCCCAAAATGCTGATGAAAGTGTTTATCCAGATCAAAATCAGGATACGGGCGATAAATCTATATGGATTGTTTTCTTTAAAAAGTTTATGAAATTAAACTAATGAAAAAACAACTGACATGACCTTACATGTTATTGGTTACAAATTGCAACAGATACAAGTTTGTTTGTTTCACTGTAACCCATTTATATGGCCGCTGAAATAAATACGATATGCAAACAGCCAAACTTGTACAGGTGCTCAAGATTAGTGGCTTACAGTGACCCTCCATGACAGTGTATACAAGTAATATTAGTGGATGAAAGGATGATTGTGGAGGGAGGAGCAAACGATAGACCCATAATTGTGGATATGCAATGGCGCCTTTACAGAGGGATCTGAGGCTATTTTTCTTGTTGCCAATTATTAGTGTTGACAACCATTTGATTTCTTGGCCGTCTGTTGTGACCTCAACAGCTGTGGTCACATCTCAACTTGATATGATGAATTGGTCTCTTCAAAAAGAGAGGTTAGAAGAGGACTTCAAACTCTCACACTGAAATTCACTGCTCAAATAGTAAATTTAAATTACTGGCACCTGTAACTATTGCTTCTAATCACCATTTAGAAACTTTCCCATCATTGTGTCTTTCCAAAGAAGAAAAAAAACAATAACATCTAACTAAAACGGTTAAAATTTTTTGTTTTTTTTTGGTATGCATTTTAAAATGTGATATATTCCTGTGATGGCAAAGCTGAATTTTCAGTGTTAATTTACCCAATTTACAGTGTCACATGATCCTTCAGAAATCTAATATGGGTAATATGACGATAATATGGTGATTTTGTGCTTAATAAACATTTCTTATTATTATTAATGTTAAAAACAGTTGTGCTGATTTCGTGGAAACTAAACTTTTTCCGGATTCTTTGTTGAATTAAAGTGAATCAAAGTTCAAAAGAACAGCATATTAATTTAATGCATCAATGCTGAATAAAAGTCGTTCTTAAAATGTTAGTGTATGTCCTATGAACTCATTGTGAGTACTGAGTAGATATACACACACACACACGTTTAAAAATATCTGATTCTGACTGATGGAAAAAATACATGAATGCATTTAACCTGCAGTTACAAATGCATAAATAATGTTTTGATATATTAAACAACATTACACATTTTCTGCCCCCATGTCTTGAATTTGTGATCATTCTGAATGTATTTTAATAGACTGAATCATGCAGTGATCAGGCAGAGTGCTAGACTTCACGTAATGCGTGCACTCTGTAGGCGTTTTGAATGTTTGTTTTTTTTGCGTCGTGAGAATATTGAGTAAAATAGCTCACTTGTCATGGTGTTATTTAACTATATCATGTTATGAATAAACTAAACATTGTGAATTTTTACCTCAGTGCGTTTCTTCTGAGTTTATGAGTGCTGTCACGCTCATTTGTTCTGAAGTCTCGAGACAAACAGAGTGAGCCTCAGCAGCGCGAGCTTGTATTCTGTTTTCTGCAGTTCTCTCTGATGACGCAGTAACTTACCGCGGGAAGAACCAATCTTCGGTCTGTCTGTCCAGTGATTATAAAGTCATTAGGTCCGTCAGACTGAAGAGATTTTAGCGGTAATTAGACCAAAAATAATTAAGACCCATCGAATCCGAATTTAAGACATTTTAAGACTTTTTAAGGCCTTATATTAGGAAAACGTTATTTAAGACTTTTTAAGGACCCGCGGACACCCTGAGAAAACTTGAAATAGGTCTATTTACTACAGAAAGTTACATGGTTTTTCACGAGCATGGCAAATCACACCTCACAGATGTCCAAACTGGGCAAATCTGTGTTCCTGATGAAGCCCAACCTGAGCACAGGATCCCTGACCTTTATATAATAATTTTTTTTTTTAAATACATAAATTTTTTAAAATAACAATCAGGCCCTTTCTTTCGGAACATGCTTTACAACTCCTTGTTCAAGCTCTTGTTCTGTCCAGGCTGGACTATTGCAATGCTCTCTTGGCAGGTCTTCCAGCCAGTTCTATCAAACCTTTACAATTAATCCAAAATTAATTTTTGATGAGCCAAAAAGAATGCACTTCATACTTCTGTTTATCAATTTGCACTGGCTACCAATAGCTGCTGGCATAAAATTCAAGGCATTGATGTTTGCCTACAAAACCACCACTGGCTCTGCACCTATTTACCTAAATTCATTACTTCAGACTTATGTGCCCTCTGGAAGCTTGCGTTGTTCTGCAAGTGAACGGTGCTTTATTGTGCCATCCCAAAGCAGCACAAAATCACTATTACGGACTTTTAAATGAACTCAATCCGAACAGCTGAGTCCTTAGTCATCTTCAAGAATCGGCTAAAAACGCATCTCTTCCATCTTTATTTGACCCTCTAACTCTAGCACTCTCTATTCTAATT